GTCCTCACCTGCCGGGCGTGCCGGGCCGCGAGGAAAGCGAGAGTGGAGCGGAGCGCGCGCAGCCGAGAGGAGTGCCAGCAGAGCCGCGCAGCGAGTGATAGTGACAGCGGCAGCGAGTGACAGCCGAGAGGAGTGACAGCGGAGCCGCGCAGCGAGTGGTAGTGACAGCGCCAGCGAGTGACGACCGGCGCCCATCGCCAGTGACTTGACAGTGATTCTGAAGCCCGGACAACAACTCTCAGGATTACGACCGCCGGTTGGCGATGAGGTGCAGGTCCTGCAGGAGGCCCTAGGCACCCAGCTGACCAGCAGCCTCAGCAGCGCACCGCCAGCACCAGCCACAGCAGCGAGGACGTCCAGCATGATGGAGACGTGGATGGAGGACGTGGTGAGTGAGCGCCCGGCCCGCAGAGGGCCCGGCCCGGGCTGTACCCGGCCCGGCCGCGGTGTGTGGCGATGGGATGTTGCTGCCGCGGGCCGCCGCAGTCAGGTCCGCGCCGCGGCCCCGCCGGGCAGCGAGAGAGAGAGAGAGAGACAGGGAGAATCTCTGCCGGGGAAGCGAGAGAGAGAGAGGTATTTGGGGGGGGGGGGTGCACCACGCCGCTGCACGCTGCACGTTGCACGCCCGGTGCTGTCACAGTGACGCAACAGCGCTGCTGCGAGCGGCTGCGAGCGTGCTGCTGGGAGCAGCGGGGCGGGGCGGCCGGATCAGCTGGTATGGCTTGTTAGCGTGTTGGCCTGCGCGCGCGCGCGTGTGAGTGTGAGTGAGTGAGTGTGCGGGTAGCCGGGCTGCATCGGGCGCCCAGTGCACGCCCGACGGTGGTGGCGGCGCGTCGGCGTGGTCCTGTTCGGGAGGAGTCCTCGCCCGCGCCGCGTCCACCTGCGCGCCCCTGCGTGCCCCCTGCGGTGGTGCTGCGGGTGAGTGCGTTAGTGCGCAGCTCACTCCATGGGTGCGGAGAGCACGAGGGACTTGCCCACCGAATGTATTGGTCACTGTTATCTGTTCGATGTGACGGGTACAGTCGGCGGAGCCCACCTCCCGCGGTGGCCGAGGTCAGGGCCAGGATGGCTGGCGCCCGGTGCCCGGGGGGCGGTGGCAACATGTCACACCTGTGTGTTCGCCGCACCCCGCCCCGCGCTCTGCCGCCCATGTGCTAAAATTTGGGCATATGCGGACGTTCCGCCCGACGACACCGTATCGGAACCTTCTGCATGGCCGTCTCTTGTTTTATTGTTTCCCATGCGGACTCTGTGGCGTTTGGCCGAAAGCTTACTTGTTTCGATTGATTTCTTTAAGAATTTTCTTGACTTGGTCGAATAAGAAGAGTTCGGCGAAGAGCAACGGGTTAGCAAGCAGATAAGCAGGAATTCGTGAGCTGCACCTGCACACGAAAGGTTTCTTTACGTACTCAAGGATTAGTCCAGGCCGTCCTGTACGCAGGGGATGCATGCGCTGTTCTGTGAGGCGATAGCCCCTTCACCCCCCCCC